CATAGCGACCCTGTAGAGGGTTTCCAAGGAGCAGCTGGTGAGCTTAAACCACTGACCTTGGAGAACAGATAACTTTACAGTCTGACGCATTAGCCCACAGCGCCACACCAGGACTCCCAGTTAGTTATTACTATACTAGAAATTAAATAACCAGATTTGGTTGGGTTAGAGAAAGCTGCTTTGTTTGCTTTTACATAATCCATGCTGATTGTTTTCTCTTGAAAAAAATATTGAATACTATTTACTATTCTTTTTAAGTTATTTTTAAGATGGAGGATTAACTCTTTTTAAAATGATAGTTCATAAAGAAATTGCTGTTGTTATCTGTGTGGAAAGTAAAATCTGTGGTATCTTTGGCTTCCTAGCAGAATACTGCTGGAAGTAATTTTTGATCATGATGACTAAGTATACAGGAGGTAAGAGCCAGGTTGAGAACAGGAGGAAATGTATTCTCAGGAAAGGATATAGCATGTTCATAGGCTCCAATTTAGAAAAAAAATAAAAAAAGCTTGGTGTACTTGAGGAACAGAAAAGTAGTATAGCAAAGACTGAGTATGAGAGGCAGGACAGAGCTGGACCACTCAAGGACTTGTGTCCAGGGTGAGGAACTTGGATTTTGTCAGTACATTTAATAAGAAAATGACTCAGAAGAGGCTGGAGGGAGCAAAAATGGATGAGGTGAGACCAATTAGAAGGATGTCTTAATAGTTAAAGCTGAGGGATCAGTGTGACTGCAGTAGGGATGGAGAGAATGGATTCATATGAATTATATTTTAAGGTAGACTTGACCAAGCTGAAAAACACTTGGTGGATTTAATTATTTAAGTGAAAGAAAGTCACTGTGTTGGACCAGTTTAAGATAAAGATTTTGTAGCACTATCAAGAGGGTACATGAGCTAGGTCTACATCTCCACAGAGAGAATTCAGGAACACAGATACAAATCTGGAAGTCAGCATATTGACAGTGTTCAAAGCCTTAAAAAGAGATGAGGTCACCTAAAAGAAGGAAATAAAGACAAGTGCTTGGACTGAGCCCTGAGTGATAGCAACATGAAGAGGTTAGGTAGAGTAAGAGACAGCAAAAAGAAATGGAACATGAGTACCAGTGAGGCAGGAGGAAAGGGAAGTATGGTTTCCTAGAAACAAGTAAAGGATGCTTAAGAAGGTGGTAATAGTAGCGTGTGTCCCATATTACCAAGAAGTGAAGAAGGATCAGTCTAAGACATAGACATTGAGTGAAGCAATAGGAAGGCATCATGGCCTTGACAAGTAGTGTTAGTATAGTAATCAGGATGGAAACTAGATTTAAACAAGTTTAAAAATATATTTGTATGATGACAGGAAATAGCACATTTTGGAAAAGTGTGCCTATAAATCTAGAAGACCATGGGAGGCCAGGATGCTATTTTTAAAAGGTGGAAAAGAGTAGAGCATGTTTGTGTGCTAGCAAGGAAGAAATTGCTAATGTAAGAAGAGGAAGTCACTGAAAGAGCCATTGACAAGACCAAAGAGATGAGATCCATGATGCAAGAAATTGGCCTCTGGTGTGCCAGCTAGCCCAGACAGCACAGTGGTTAAGTGTTCAGCTGCTAACTGAAAGGTCAGAGGTTCATACCCACCAGGTGTTCCTTGGGAGAAAAGACCTGGTGATCTACTTGGAAACCTTTGGGATAGCTCTGCTCTGCCTTTTGGTGTTACTATGAGTTGGAATTAACTTGACAGTGGAGGGCAGGTAGGTTTTCTCTGTCAGTCGTAACTAGAGAAGATGGATGCAGGTGGATGTCAGGTTCAGATTTAGCGTGAGGACATAAGAGATCACATGATGACTCAGTGATATATGAGGAGTGTTTCATAGATGACATTGCACAGAGAGGGGAGGATGGGATAGAAATAAGAAAACTTGCAATCATCTCAGAGCCTAAAGAAATGCAGTTGGACTGGGTAATATTGAGTGCGCCTACAGAACTCCTGGTGTGGTGATGTGGGGTAAACACTGGGCTGTGAACCACAAGGCCCATGGTTCAAAGCCACCAGCTGCTCCTTGGAAACCCAGTACAGGGTCGCTGTGAATCAGAATTGACTCGAAGCACTTAACAACAGCAAGATTAAGACAAGTGTATAACTGAGTGAACTTATCTGCAGCCATCCACTGATTGCAGAGACATGCTTAAACACCTTTTGCTTGAAATAAACATTTGTATGTATGAATTAGAACTCGAAAGCAGTACTTTTTGACTTAAACTCATTTTAGGTTTGTTAAAATGCGTTTTCTTTGCTTATTGCTCAGAAGTAAGTCAGAATACAATATATCATTTGTTGCTTTGGTGTTTACAAACTAAAGAACGAGTAGGAGAGACTTAAGTAATTAGATTTTGAGAAATAAAAAATTAAAATAGAAACTTGTAATGATTTCATCAAACATTATCAGTTTTAGGCAAGTCATTCAACTCTTTATCTCTACCTGCTGAGCCATTTCATTATGCTGTTGTTGTTGTTAAGTGCTGTTGAGTCTGTTCTGACCCATAGCTACCCTGTAAAGGGTTTCCAAGGAGCAGTTGGTGAATTTAAACTGCCGACCTTGTGGTTTAAACTGACTCCAGTAATTTCTTGTTAAATTAATAAGTGAATTATGTTGTCGTTAAGTGCTGTTAAGTTGTTTCCAACTCATAGTGACCCTGTGTAGGGTTTCAAAGGAGTGGCTAGTGGGTTTTACTGCCAACTGTAGTTAGCAGTCCATGATTATCCAACAGCGCCACACCAGGACTCCAAGTGAATTACAGTGAATGGAGCTTTTTGAATCCTTAGCTGTCAAAAACAGATATGTATTGTTGTTATTAAGAACCATTGAGTCAGTTCTGACTCATAGTGACCCTGTATAGGGTTTCCAAGGAGCAGCTGGTGAGCTTAGACCTCAGACGTTGCAATTCAGTTGGCTTTGCAGTTCAACACATTAACCCACAGCACCACACCAAGACTCTTATAATGTTACCACTAAACTTGTCACCAGGAAGCAAGACTCCTGCAAGTCACATGGAAGGTGGGCTGTGACTTCACATTAGGATGTCATATCTGTAATTCCTGCTTGATTTAGAATGTAAACAATTTCTAGCTAAAATTGCATCTGTTCATTCAATTTTCAGTGTCTGCCACCAAGTAAAGTCCTATATTTCTGTCAACATGAGGGGATATACTTAGATTGTGTTTTGTCTATCTGATATGTTGTTTTATGGTAGTTAAGGAAGGTTGTTAAGGATAGGTAAGAGTAGAGCAATGAGAAATTATGACTATAAAACAGAAATATGGAGATATTTTAAATTGCTTGTGTTCTATAAGTGGTCATTTGTTTCTACTTAAACATGGTACAAGCCCAAGTTAATTTTTTTTTTTTTATATGGATGCCATATTATGAGTAAGCATTGAGGTATGTATGAAGAGGTTTCAAAAAGTTCCTGGAAAAAATGGACTGAAACAGTACTAGAAGTTTTCATGAACTTTTTGAAGTCCCGTCACATAATTATTAGAGGAAAGTAGTAAAAAATATAATGCCATGACCTTGCTTCTTTTAGATTCCCATTGCAAAAGTTGATAGGTTCTTTAGGAATCTTTAGATTAAAAAAATCATTGAATGGCTTATGTGGGAACTGATATATAAATATGTTTATATATATAGTTTGCAAACTGTTTCTATATAGAGAGCAAGGACCCTTTTTTGTCCCATTGCAATTAACCATATTCTTGTTTTCTGATTACAGCATCTTCATAACTATTTCACAGTGACCCTTGGAATTCCTGTTTGGTGTTCTTATGTCTTTTTCATCGTAGCCACCTTGGTTTTTGGCCTTTTCATGGGTCTGGTAAGAAACAATTGAATTGTTTTACTGTCTTTAAAGCAAAATGGGTTTCATGTAAATCTAGAAAAAGCTCAAGAAAGAAATGGCTCGTAAACATTCATTTGTATATAATCTAAGCAGTTAAACAACATTTGCGTATTTGAGACCACTTCACAATACTTTAAAATATAGCAGAAAATTGATTAAATTGTTATCTCCTTATCCTATTCCCCTAAATATTCTAAAGCTTTGTGCCCCCAAGAATATAAGTAGTGGTCAGTTTCCAAGATAACTGTAACTTCATACATTTCCTGCTTAATTAGAACATTGTCTTAATAAGGCCAAAGCTGTGTATTTATTCCTTGGGTAAGCAAGATGATTTTTCTTATTTATAATCCTCATTTATACTTCTAGTTCTGACCAGCTTTTTATACACATTATTGTGGCTTTTTCTTAGAGGTATTGTGTGAGAAAATGTGTACAGAGCAACCTAATCTTACTGTGATGAAAAGTAAAATGCAAAGCAAATTACCATGTCATCTTTAGTCATGAAAATAAGTATCTAGAAGGCTCTAAACCTTTTCTCCTAGGTATTTACATGAGAGTGAAAGAATAAATTTGTTGACTGACGTATATATTGGTGGTGGTGGTGTACTGTGGAATCTGTTCTGATTCATAGTGACCCTCTCTATAGGGTTTCCAAGGCTATAAATCTTCATGAGAGCAGAAAGCCTCATCTTTCTCCCATGGAATGGCTGGTAGTTTCGAATTGCTGACTCTGAGTTTAACAGGCCAACTCGTATCAACTATGCTACAAAAGCTCCTTGAACTATATAGTAAGCTGCCATATTTTTCCATGCTTTATTCTTTGATATAAGTACAATAACTTGTCATATTTCTTGTTATAATTATAGAATTGATCAATTTTTTTGAGCTTTAAGCTCTAAGATAAGAAGTTCTCAAAAGCCATTATACTTTTGACTAATCACATAGCTCTTAAGTGCTGTGTGGTGGGAATAGAGTTGATGATTTACAAAATGAATGAAGAAGAAGACACCATTAGTTAGGATTATCATGGAGCCTATTCTTATATTTTATCATGAATGTTGGCTCTTTAGCCTAGACTTTTAACAATATTTAAAATATTAGCAATTGCATTTATAGCAGGTCATAACTTGGTACGACAGAGTCATAACTCCAAGGAGCAAAGGAGGCTGGATTTTATTTTGCCAAGAAAGTGCTTAATTCAGTTTATGACTACTCTTTGAGACTTGGCTGCTGCTGTTAAGTTCAAGGGACTGAAATACCGTATGTCATCTGTTAGGGTCTGGGTATGTCGCATTCTATTGCATGCATTTTATTGCTAATTAACATGACTCCATTGCTCTGGCCTAAAGGAATTTGATATGAGATATAAATGGAATGCAGTAGTCTTTGCTTCTCCTATCTATTGTCTGTTGTTGTTGTTAGATGCTGTGGAATTGGTTTAGATTCACAGTGACCCTCGGTGCAACAGAACAAAACACTGTCCAGTTCTGCTCCATTCTCACAGTCATTGCTGTGTTTGAGCCAATTGTAGCAGCCACTGTGTCAGTCAGTTTCATTGAGGGTCTCTCTTTTTTACTGTGTATCTACTTTCCCAAGCATGAAAACCTCCTCCAGGGAATGGTCCCTCTTGATAACATGTCCCGAGTATGTAAGACAAGATCTCTCCATACTTGTTTCTAAGGGGAATTCTAGCTATACTTCCTTCAAGACAGATTTGTTTGTTACTGTCTAAGTCTAGATTTTTCTGACAGTGTATTTTGGAGCCATGTGGAGGGTGAGGCTCTTGTAGGGGAACAGTAGGCAGTCCAAGGTGATTCAGAGATAGAGTTCTGGAGAATGTAGATTGAGAATGAACCTATTGGAAACCAGAGAAAATTCTTCGTAATATGAAGCTCTTTTAGAATTTTATCTAAAATTCTTTGAGGTTGACTTTAAGTCCATGAAATTGAGTCAGGCTTGACTATGCTCTAAGTTCATTTGGAATTCTAGATTCAATTAGTGCAGGAGAAATGCCAGGAGGCTTGAAGAAGGAATAGTCCTGAAGAATGAATAATCAGAGTTGTTTTCAAATTGTTCAAGTGATTAATTGGCATAGAACATTGCTCCTTTATAAGACTTTAGGGAGAGAACGTTATTTAACAAAATAATTTAAAATTTAAAGTATTAACGTTGTTATTGTTAAATGCTGCTGAGTCCGTTCTGACTCATAGCGACCCTGTATATGGTTTCCAAGGAGTGGCTGATAGGTTTGATCCAGTAACATTGTGGTTAACAGACCAGTGCTTACCCTATAGCACCACACCAGGACTCACATTTTCTATTAATACAGCTCTGAAAGTTAGTAAATACATATTTCTGCTCAAAATGCCTTTTTGCAACAAACTGTTCTATGTGCTAAAAGATACATACACACAGTAACAGAATTTTGCCTTCAGTAATCTTAGATTTCTTACGTACTCTTAACTTACTGTATGTGGATTAGTTATACCATTTGAAGCAACTTGCATTCTTATTGCAATTTATATTGACTATTCTAAAATGGTGCTTTGATTAACTCCTTGGAGGATAACTAGAAAGCTGTTTCACATCTTAGCCACATGGAGAATGGGTATTTGTATGGTAATCTATGGTAAATTGACAAGCTGCGGGATGAGGCCACTTGAGATTTGCAGTGACTGACCCTGCATCCTGCCAAAATCACGGAGGAAAGAGGGAATGGCTATGTTGACACACCTGTTGTAAAGCTAGGCTTTAACGTTCTTCAATAGTCTGACCAACTGAGTCTAAATTAAATGAGTTCAAATAGAATGAATCTGAGGTGAAATTGCTGAGCATGGCATTTCCCAGAATAAAGTAGTAGGAATTGACTTTGAGATGCTCCATTTGACCTCCTCACAGAAAACCTGCAGCCCATTGAGGTTTTATGACTCAGTTGTGTTTCAGCTTTACAGTAGAGCCAGGGCTAGAGGCAAAATCTCTAGGTGTGTGGTTCAGTGCTCAGTGGCACCTTTGTCAGTGAGGGAGTCATGAAAGCAGAGCCCAGGCATGCAGACTACTTCCTGTGAGTGGCTTCCTATAAAAAAGTGATTTGTCTTAAGCCTTCATTATTTCTCATTCGCTTGACTGTTAGGTTGCCTATTTTTCTCAGTTTTAAAAGATGAGAAGTTAAACAAGGCTGATAGCTTGATTTTTGTTTATATTATTGATTGAACCTAATGATGGTTGTAATATTTTACTGAATGTGAATAGTTACATGTAAATAAAGGACTAAGTTTTAGAAGTCAAGCAAATATTTTGCATTTGATCGCAGCATGGCAAAGAGCCTTAAGAGCATATTATATATATGCTTCATGGAAGTCACTCTGGCATCCCCATTTCCTGCTGTCGTTAACTCTCTTCTGAAGAACAGCAGTGTAGACCAGCAGAAATGCAACACACAGAGCACAGGTGGCAGTCCAGGTGACTTAGTTCTGACAGCTTCTCTGCTCAGATAGTTCAGAAACCGACTCTTACATGGCCACCATTTCAGCTGGTGTGCAGCCCAAATTTTGCTATGTAGGCAGTTATTTTTCTAGATGTTACTGACCAGTGCTTCCCACAGAGCAGGGGCTCCAGTATATAAGGCCTGGATGCCGCCACCCTCTGTGTATGGTAGTAAATTCATTTGCTCTCCACATTTAATTACCTGGCTCTCTGGGTCAAAGAGGAAGCCTGAAACTATGCAACCCTGAAAGAGTCACTGTGGAAGATGACCCCTTTTTCATACTGCTTTCTAATTAAACTGCCTTTTTGTTGTTGTTGCACTGCTCACGAGCCAGGACTGTGATGTGGTTTATCGTGTTTTTGGGTTTTTTTTTCCCCTTTTCAACCTATCCCCCTTCCAAGATATTAATATGGTGTCTTGATCCTAATTAATCCAAGTTGTGAATGAACATATGGGCAGTGATAATCCTGAATACAGTATAGGGTACAAATTAGTTGTTTATAAGTTTGAATCAAAAGGACTACGACTGTGGGTTCTTTAAAAGTTCAGAGCACAAGTTAATGTACGAATGTACACTGAAAAATACTCCTTCCATTTTAAAGGCTGGTATAGTCTAGGAGTTAGCAGTGCAGAGGATGGCTTCACCTTGTTTTGAGTTCAGTGGACTCTGCCCTGTTTGACATACCCGTTCATTTTATCACCATGTTCTCTGTCAGTCCCTGGACATGGAACATGGACTGGGATGATTCTGTCTTTAAGTAGCTAGTAGTTCACCAGGGGACAAGTTATGCGACTCATACTTCAGTCAAGGTCAGAGGAGGAATAATAAATCATGTCCAAAATATGGTTTGGTTCACATTTTAATGGGGTTTCTCACAATTTGTTTCCATAGAGATTGCTTTATGGTGCTCTGGGGAATTTCAGCTCAACTAGGGATTACCCATTGGTGATGGACAGCCCATACATATACAGACTTGTATTATTTATACAGAAGAATATTTTAAAAAATACTCTGAGACTTGGTTGGTAGTGTATCTGTTTCTTACATCTGTTTGAGTCATCTATTTGTAACAGGCTCCTACTGTAGCGCTGAGGGAACAGCAATGGACTGGGAACCACTTGCTCCTTAGAAACCCTATATAGGGTTGCTATAAGTTGGGACTGACTCATCGGCACTTAACAACAACAATAACAACAAACCTGTTGACAGTTGACTTTGTGAAGTTTGTTCTAGATTAATAATATTTTTCTGCATACTAATATTTGGAAATTTTTGTTGTTGTGCTGTATAGGATTTCCAAGGAGCGACTGGTGAGCTTGAACCACCGATCTTGTAGTTCAAATGGCTTTGCAGTCTGGCACATTAACTCACAGCGCCATACCAGGACTCCAATATTTGGAAATAGGAAATTGTTAATTATACCCTGGTCCTTTATGAGGGCTCTTGACAAACTGCCAATTCTTTGCCTAGGAATATCTGATTATTTTGAGGCCTTTGGATAATAAATGTTCCTACCTACTAACTATAAAATTACTTTTTTTTCCAGGTCTTGGTGCTAATATCAGAATGTTTCTATGTCCCACTTCCCAGGCATTTATCTGACCATTCTGGTAAGCATAACAAACTCATGGAGTAAAGTACCCTTGGAATTGTGTATTGTAAGCTTTCCTGCTCCTGTGGGTGGTGGGTTCTGTTCTGAATTTGCTAGATGACCAAACCACAATTCTCTGAAATTGGTCCTTTAGTTAGATTTGAACAGAAATTCTTATTTACCTTCTTTTTAAGTAGAGACTGCTTTCTCTTTGCATTTTCCCCTTTAAGTGCATGTTCTTCATTAATCAGTTCTAGGTTTTTCTTTACTCAAGTTTAGAATAAAAACGAGGGTTAGGAATTGACATTTACTGAGCTCCTACTATGTACTAGTTTCTGTAGTAAGTCCTTTAAAAGCAGTCTCCCGACTGCTTTTACAGATGAGGAAACAGAGGCTGTGAAAGGCTAAGGCACTCGTCGCAGGCCATAGAATAAAAAAGTAGGGACTTGGGATTTTAAGGCACTTCTGTCCAAGTCCAGTGTCTGGGAAAAGGTGGCCCAGAGTTCTTATGTCTTTATTCACGACTAAGTTTGAGACTTTATATGAAGACTTTATGGGGACTTGATAATTATTGAGAGGAACATGTTGGCTCATGGGATAAGCATTGGTCTGAATGGTACTTAACAAGAACAACATTTTATGAATTTTATGTGGGAGTTTAGCTAAGCTAATTAGTTTATGAATTTTTCCAGGCTTTGAACCTTGTGTAGATAATTAGAAAATATAGTATCTTCCTTAGAATTCTGGAAAGTATCAGAAACCCAATTCAGACTGGTTTAAGAAAAAAGGAGAATTTATTACCTCCTGCAACGAGAAGTCCAGGGGTGTTCTGTTCCAGGCATTTTCAATTGACGTTAGGGTTCTGATTCTGTATGGCTGACTCAATGATTGTCAACAGCTCTGAGTCACATTTTATCTGCCTAGCCTGATAGAGAGAGAGGGGGTTTCCCTTCTGATTCTTGGGAATACTCTGAAGTTGAGCAAAAATTCTTGGGAATACTCTGAATAGTTAACTGAAGTCACATTGCTGAGCCAATCACTATAAGCAGGGGGTCACTGAGTCAGCTACAAGCTCTATAGTGTAGAAAGACTTTGTTCTCCTTGCACACATACTCTGCTAAAGTGAAAACAGGCAACGAAACCTCCAGAGAGGGACAGAGAAGCCCTGGCTCCTGCTAGGATGCCAACCGAAGAATCAGAATCCAAAGAGGAGAAACTTGTCATGTAGTGTTTTCACCTTCTCCTTTTTGGGCACTTAATTGATAGCTGAATTATTATTGTGTATTCAGAGGACATTCTTTTTGCCTCCCCTTCCCCCCATAGAGCAGAATCAGAGGTCAGAGGATGCTCATGGCACTGAACAACTGCAGGATGCAGAGGAGGACAAAGACGATTCAAATGAAGAAGAAAACAAGGACAGCCTTGTAGATGAGGAAGAGGAGAAAGAAGACCTGGGCGATGAGGATGACCTGGAGGAGGATGAGGAGGAAGACAACCTGGCGGTTGGTGATGAGGAGGAGAGGAATGATGAGGCCAATGACCAGGGGCCCCCGAGAGAGGGCAGCACAGCCAAGGCAGAAGTGGGACGTGAGAAGACTGCAGGGGGTAGCCCTGAGCAGCCTGGGTCAGCTGATGCAGAGCTGGCAGGAGACGCGTTGAGGCAGCGCAAAAGTCAGCAGACGGATAAAGGACCTTAGACTTCTTGAAAATATTTCTAGTATTAGAGACCAAAGGAATAACTCCCTTTCCTTCTGGTCTGCAGTTCAAACCAAATCTCTACTTTTTCCTGAATAAACAAGCTTCTCTTAAAAGAGGATCTCAAATCTTGTAGTCTGGCAGCATTAAGCCTCATGTATATTAATGAGAATCTTTCAAGTATGACAATCAGGACAGAAAGACAAAGGTAGTGTTAGAATCTATCTGGAGACTAATGATGGAAACCAAGTTTGTTCACTTGTGCTAGAAAGTCTTGTCAAGAGGAGGCAGTCCCAACTCTTTCTTAACTCTTCTAAAAACAGGTTATAGATCCCCCAAAATGGAAATAAAGCAGCCTTTGCTCCTGATCATCCCCAGAAGGGTAGCAGAAGCCTTGTTTCCTCTGCTTGTTCTAAGTATTTATTGTTGTCGAACTATGTAACTCATCCAGCAGCATTCCTGGACTGTGTTTTAGAAAAGAGCTTGGAATTCATCCCACCCCTTAAATTACCTTTGTTAGGTTTTATTTCTTATCTCTAATTTTTTTTCAACTTTTCCGCCATGGACTTGTAGGCTCCTGGCACCCTTCACAATGCCTGCTTAATGCTAGTGCTGACCATGAGTCAAGAACCAAGACCTACAGCCCTATAAATCCAGGGCTGCCAGGAAATGCTCTAACCTCAGATATTCAAAAGGAAATGGAAATATTTTAAGAGACTTGATCCCTACCAAGGAGTTCCTCTAATAGTATGCTTTTTGCAGCCAGGAGTCCTCAAAGTCTTGCCAATACAATGTAGTCTTGCAGAAAACTTGAATACCGTGTTGTTTTGTTTCATCTCAAGAGGTTCCCTGGCCCTTGAAACACTTTAATATAATACCTGGAAAGCCACTGTTGGCTTGCCTTCAATGATGTGTTTTTGGTGAGAGAAATAATGAATGTCAGTACCTGGAAATGAAAGATTAAATGTCTTTTACTTCTAATTTTTTAAAATAATTATCTCTGTAAATCTGTCAACACTCCATCTACCAAAAGTACCAGGGGGCCTGTCTCATTGATCTAGTGTTGTTATAACAAAATACCACAAGTGGCTGGCCTAAACAAGTAGAAATGTATTCTCTCAGAGTTGAGGGAGCTAAAAATCTGAACTCAGAGTGCCAGCTATCAGGGAAGTCTTTCTCTTTTTGTTGAAGGTCCTTGCCTCCTTTCAACATTTGTGGGCCCAGTGTACCTTGGAAATCTCCATGGGTCTTAGTATCAATCTTATCCTGGGTCTTGGAGGTTCTTAGCACAGGGACCCTGAGTTCAATGGACATGCTCTGCGCTGGGCTCTTCTGTTTTGGTCCCTCCTCCTCTGCTTGATTCTCTCTCCTTTTCTCTCTCTTGAAAGAGGAAAGGTGATACTTCAGAGAAAGGCCACACTTCAGAGAAATTCCCCTTAGATCTTAACTATGACCTTAGTAATGGTGGTTGCTTAAAGGAAAGATGATGTATCTCACTAGAATCCTGCCTCTTTGGCATAACAAACATAACCTAATCTGAATTGCCATTGAGTAGTTTTCCCAGGACCAGCTGGTGGGTATAAATGCTTACCTTGCAATGAGCAGTCTAGTGCTCATTCTACAGCCAGGATTTATTAACATAGTCTAATCCTGCCTAGTTAACTACAGACAGAAGTTAGGATTTACAACCATACTGGAAGTTATGATCTAGCCAAGTTGGCACATGTTTTGTGGGGATGTGATTCCGTTCAAGATATGGCCCAATTTTCTTTCAAAATCCATGGATTTACTGTTTTCTTCCCTGATTTATGCCTTGGAATAAGTTCATCAGATAGACTAAGAGTATAAGAAAAATGCCTAAATTGATTCTATGACTCTTGGGTCAAAATAATAAGGAACATGGGTTTGTGAAATTATGAAAGTGTCTATCATTTAAAAAATGAATATACAGTATACTTCTGTCTTGCCATTTAGATAACCCTTTCCTTTTTTCAGTGAGATATTTAAATAGAGTGGAGGAAATGAAGAGATAAAATTTACTTGGCTTTATCAACTTAAGGCCAGTTTCCAATTGGACTACAAGTAGTATCTCAATGTAGAATAAGAATATGTCTTTCCTATCTTAGCAATACTTCAAAAATTTGAAGGAAGGGGAGAAAATGTTTTGGTGAAGAGGATACATTAAGAGTTTAAGTATCTGGTTATGGTAAGCATTTTATCTCATTAATTAAAAAAAAAATTAATATCCTGGGAAAAATTTTTTTTTTTCTAAACTTGTGATCGGTATATATCTAATTTAATTGTGTTTACTCATGATGAGGTCTTTAGGTTTGTTTTCAATATTTACTGAATATAAAATTAAAGAGAAAAAATTCACCTAATATAATTTAAAAATAAAATTAGATCAACATTTCAATTAGATTTTGTGGATTTTTCCTGTAGGTAATATATTTAATCCCAAGATCATGGGGACATGATTTTGACTTAAAAATAATTATGGTTCTCTCAATTGCGATATCTTGTTAGGCTCCATGGAGTTGGGTCAGCTCCTGAGGACCTCTGTGTATAACAGAACAAATCCCTGCCCAGTCATGTTTTCTATGCTGTGTCCTTGAATCCAGAGTATCAGTCACTGTGTCACTCCATCTCACTGAGGGTCTTCCTCTTTTTCACTGACCCTTCACTTCAGCAAATATGATGCCCTCCAGAGACTGGTCTCTCCTGATGATGTGTCGAAAGTACCTGAGACAAAGTCTCTCCATCCTTGCTTCTAAAGAGCATTTTAGCTGTATTGTGTCTAACACAGTAATGACAATCCATGGTACTCTTAATATACATCAATACCATAATTCAAATGTAACGGTGTTTCTTTAGTTTTCCTTATTCATTGTGCAGTTTTCACAAGCATATGAGGCATTTAATTATAGTAGGGATTTATTTAATTAGAAAACAGTATTTTGTGTAAATGAAAATTAGGTGGAGTGAATAAAAAGAACTATGTTTTAGAATGGAGGTATAGTGAAGCAAGGTGCCTTGTCGTCAGTTAGAAGGAAAATTTGACATTTCTTGCTACTTTTATTGGTTTCCTTTATTATTCATCTGTTGGATTTGAAAAGTTCCAGCTTGCTTAGAACTCTCCTATGGAAGCCACATATATAGAGTCCCACCCTTTCTGTCCCTGTTAAGTCTGAGCACTGGGCTGGAGAGGCCTGGTGTGTAGGCGCATGCTTACAACCTGTTATGTGTGTGTAATCACTGTCTATCTTGGTACTGGCACATGTTTAACCTCACAAAGAAATGCAAAATAATTACTGTGTTAACAGTAAACAAAACTTTGCAAAGTTGGCCAATGACAATGGATAAAACCGAATGTTGACTTTTTACTAACAATAACATTGTCGGTAGCTATGATATGGCCACATGGTCTCAGAACATGTGCTTCTACAGAGCCTTTGGTGCAGATGATGAAAATGTCTTTGAAGACCAATATGTAGCATGTAACTTATTATAACTATGTCCTTCAGGAGTGGAGGGAATATATTGCTTTACATGGTAGGAAACGTTCAGGAGTCCAAAAAACAATAGCCAGAAAAGATAGGGTAAACCTGAGACAGCCACATAAAACCTTAAATGGGTGTGAAGCTAGAGAAATCAGGAAGCTGTTTTGCTAATGTATATCAGTAGTTTATATGTGCTCCCCATCTCCGTGCTGATGTGTTATTACTGACAGTATTATAAATGTGTGGCTGACCATTCTGTCAAATAAATCATTGTTTTGGGAAGTATTCATGTATATCTTTCGTGCCAACAGCAAAGTTCCTTGTTGTTAGTATCTCTTTTACTGCTATCCTCTATTTTGATCCTCTTGAGTAGATAAGAGTTAGTTTTGAAAAAGCCAAATGTGGAATCAACAAGTGTGATAAAGTCTCATGGTACCACTGTTTGAACAGCTTTCAAAGGAAAAGTTTCAGACTGAAGACGTCCAATACCTTCAGATGCTGGGTAGTAGCCTTCAAGTGGCTTATTGTCAATAACGTTACCTGTGGACATTGTAAATGTGTGACTCATACAACTTTGACACGTTTCTGATGTAGTGTATTCATATTTTGTTACTAAACAGCTTCTTCATGAAAATGCAATTTTTATACTAAAAATACTGCTCATTTGTACTGCAATACATTATAAATTTGTTATTTATATCCTTTGTAATAGTCTTGGTTATTTAGCCCGATACGATTACGATTACTTTTCCTCTTTACCCATGTACTCTGCTTCCTGACATAGCATCTGCTGCATCTGCAATGACCTATCAAGGTAATGCTTGGAAGCAGTGTAGTGCCTGAAGAACAAAATCACTTGATCACAAAATTGACCCTTTAGCCTTTCAATTATATTGTATATTTCCATTTCCATCACAACCTAATATTTATTGGTGACTAACGAGATGGATTGGCCAAGTGGTAGCATCGATGGACTCAAGTGTGGCAACGGCAGTGAGGTTGGCCCAGGATCAGGCAGTGTTTTGATCTGCTGTGCATAAGGCCGCTATGGGTCGGTACTGACTCAATCGCACCTAACAAGAACAACAAGTAAAAACATGAGTCCTAGTGTGGTGCTGTAGGATAAACACTGGACTGCCAACCATAAGGTCAACAGTTCAAATCTACCAGCTGCTTCTCGGAAACCCTGTACAGGGTTGCTATGAGTCAGAACTGACTTTATAGCACTTAACAACAACAGCAAAGTAAAAACAAAATTATATATATTTTCATTTCAACAGTTTCACAAAAGCCTAGGCAGTGAAAGAAATCTGACCTTGTTAGAAGAATTTTCCTCTATTCAGTTTGTTCTCTCTTTCTTCCATCCTTTTCCACTTTCATCTTTTCTCTCTCTCCTCTTCCTTTCTTTTGCCTTTTCTCCCTGGCATGGTGAAACTCAAATCCTCGGCCTTTTAGCTCTTCTAGAAATTCTGCACTTAAACAAACAAACAAAAAAACACTTCT